ACAGGGTCTCACTATGTAGTTGAGACTGACCTGGAACCCAGGCTGGTCTTGAACTCACAGCGATCCTCCTGCCTCAGCCTCCCAAGTGCTGGGATTACAGGTGTGCGCCACCATGCCTGGCCACACCAATGTCTTGTACACGCTTTCCCGGGCCTCAGAGCCTGAGGTCTGGAAGCTCCTGCCTAGTCCAGCTTCCCTGCAGAGGGGACGACCACTCACCCACTTGGAGGACACGGTCCACGGAGCCACTCTGCAGCAGGTGCAGCCCGCGGGTGAAGGGCACCCGGGCGTCCTGCTCCCCCTCCGCAGACTGGTACCCTAGCGACGAGTACATGCATATCTCCCTCTCACTTCGTGGAAATGACCAGAACACGATCCGCTTCTGCACTGGCTCCGGCACCCGGGAGAACCGCTCCTCAACCTGCGGAGGGTCAGTGGGTCACAGCCAGGCTAGGGTTCTGCTTGTGCTGTTTATACACAGCTGGACCTGGGGCAAGTCACTCGGCCTTTCTGAACCTCAGTTTCCCTGAGTGGGAGGTGGGGATATGAGCGTCAACCGTCTCCCGGGGATTCAATATGCATCAGTGAGCCCAGCATTATGGTGTGAGGCTGTAATTCCAGCTACTTGGGAGGCTGAAGCAGGTGGATCAAAAGTTCAGGGTCAGCCTGGGGCAACTTATTGAGACCCAAGCACAAACAAAAAATAAAAAGCATTAATGTGTGTACAGCACTTATAGCAATGCCCGGCCCACAATTAGCACCCTAGATCTTATTACTAATTCCTTTCTGGATGCCAGGGGCTTTAGCAGACTTCTGGTGGGATGCGTCCACCTCTCAGGCCTTGACGGGATGGAAAGAAGTCAGACAAAAGTGACTAGGTGCAGAGGCCCTGGGTTCATTCCCCAGCACCAGAAAAAAGGAAGAAGGAAAGCTGGTGTGGGGTGCAAGACTATAATCCCAGCCCTGAGGAGGCCTAGGTAAATGGGTTGCTGTGAGTTCCAAGCCAGCTTGAACTACATAGTGAGACCCTGTCTCAAAAGAACAACAAAAAAAAAGTGATTTCCCAACTCTCACACCAATCTAACAATTTGATGCTCTGATTTACAGCCTAGCAGGAAAGGCTCAGAACTGCAATAAGCTTGTTCAGAACCCTGGGGCTGGAGAGCTCCCACTCCCAGGACAGGCTCTCACCCCAGGGTCTTCCCTGAGCCCCACCTTGGGCACCGAAACAGCCCCTTTGAGCTTGCGTTCCAATCTGGGTTTGCTGTTCTCTGGCTGGCGACTCTGGGCAAGTTTCTCAACCTCTCTGTGTCCCAGTTTCCTCAAAACCAGGAGGACAACAACTCCCAGAGGGTTACAGAAGAGCCCAGGAGCTTTCCACGCTCCCAGCCCTGCCAGGCCAGGTCCTGCTGGTCACACACACAAGGAAGGGCGGTGGCCTTCCTGAGTCCCCTCCTACCTAGGTTTCTGGGGGAAGTGGAGCGGCCGGGGACTGGCCCGGTGACAGCTGGCAAATGACTAAGGAGGGATTTTCCAGTCCATGGATCAGGATGATGGTTCCATCCGCCATGGCACAAACCCATCAGTCCTAACTTGGGAGGGAAGTCCCCCTGGAGTCAGGCATCCCAAAAGCTTGTGGGGGCTGTGCCGGCCCGGGCAGTCTGGCAGTTCTGAGGCTGGTGCCAAAGGGGTTTGAAAGACCCCAGCCCTAAGGCACCAGGGCAGAGTCTCCAGATCCAGCCCGAGAGGCCGGTTAGGGTTGCACCTGTCAGACACCACCCGAATGCCCAGCTCCCTCTGGGAAGGACTAGGACGGGAAGAGGGTTGGCGGGGGACCGGAAGGGTCCTTAAGGGACCAGTGAGTGCTGGGGCTGCAGGGGGGGACAGGAGGGCACAGGGACAGGGGAGGGTCACGAGTTGGGACGTGGAGAGATGCGGAGTTAGGGAGTTCTCTGCCTGGCGAGTCGGACAGGGATCTGGGGGTGAGGGGGCAAAAACGGGACTCTGTGGGTATCTAGGGGCTCAGACGTGGGGAGAGGGGGATAACCCTGCCGAGGTCTGCTTGCAGGAGTTGGGGAGTCATTGAGGAGAGAATGGGTGCCCTTGTGGGGGTGAGGCTGAGTGGCGAGAGCCCTGGGGATGGGGCGGCAGGGCAGGCCTGGGGTCGCAGGCTGAGGGGGACGCGAGGGCTATGGCAATTCTGGGGCCCTGGGGGCGGGTCTGAGCCCGGATCGCACCGGGGAAGCAGT